TTTATCAACAATGACCTTGCAATGACATCTGCTAGCTCCCACAGCTTTCGTGGGTTCATCCCATCAGGACCTATGGACTTATGTATATCCAGTTTGCTTAAGTATTTTCTGGCCTGAGCCTCTTCCACCAAGGGTATGTCTTCCTTGCTCCACTTGCTTCACTAAGCTCATCATTGCATGTTCAGATAACGTCTCTGTATTTCCTCCTAGGTTACCTGTCCTTGCTTCCACCCTCTGTATGTTTCCTTTTTTGCATGTGAGTTTGGCCAGGAGCTCCTTGGTCATCCATGCAGACCTCCTGGGATTTTTCCCTGACTTTCTGCTCTTTGAGATGAACTGGTCTTGAGCTTGGAGGAGGTGATAGGCTTTCTTGGGCCCCTCTTCCCTCCAAGGTTTTATCCCATGGGACTCCTCCAAGCAGATCTTGTACCCCACTGTATTGTCCCTGCAGCTGGGGTGATTGAAGTACCCCATTAAGACCAGTAAAGTCTGAAATAAGGGTTAAATTTTCAGCAGCAAAATGGAAATATGTCAATTTTTTTACAGGTGAGTCAAATATTTTTCTCTCTTCTCTTGTAGTCAGACATTTAGTTGTGCTATCTTAGTTGTGCTAACCACATCCTGGGCTGCATCAAAAGAACTGTGGCCAGCAAGCTGAGGTAGGTGATTCTGCCCCTCTACTCCACTCTCGTGAGACCCCACCTGGAGTACTGCATCCAGCTCTGGAGTCCTCAACATAAGAAATACATAGACCTGCTGGAGTGTGTCCAGAGGAGAGCCACGAGGATGATCCAAGGGCTGGAGCACCTCTCCTATGAGGAGAGGCTGAGAGAGTTGGGGCTGTTCAGCCTGGAGAAGAGAAGGCTCTGGGGAGATCTTACTGCGGCCTTCTAGGACCTAAAGGGGGCCTACAGGAGAGCTGGGGAAGGACTTTTTACCAGGGCATGTAGCGATAGGACGAGGGGGAATGGATATAAACTGGAAGAGGGCAGGTTTAGATTAAACATTAGGAAGCAGTTTTTCACTTTGAGGGTCGTAAGGCACTGGAACAGGTTGCCTAGAGAGGTTGTTGAGGCCCCATCCCCGGAGGTGTTCAAGGCCAGGCTGGACGTGGCCTTGGGCAACCTGGTCTAGTGGGAGGGGTCCCTGCCTATGGCATGGAGGTTGGAACTCAATGATCTTCAAAGTCCTTGCCAACCTAAACCATTCTATGATTAATGGAATTTAGGCTACAATAGGGACAATTCTCTGTTTTGTTACACATTTGTTAAGAAATGAGCATGAAGAGGAAATATCTTTTATTAAAAGTGTATTCAAATGAACAAGAAATTATATACTTAAACTGAGGACAAAATATCTGCAAATATATATCACATACAGAGAATCAGAATTGTTTAGGTTGGAAGGGACCTTGAAGATCATCAAGTCCCACCATCAACCTAACACTGCCAAACCCACCACTAACCATGACCTAAGCACCACGTTTACCCGTCTTTTAAATACCTCCAGGGATGGTGATTCCACCACTTCCCTGGGCAGCCTGTTCCAATGCTTAACAACCCTTTCAGCAAAGAACTTTTTCCTAATATCCAATGCAAACCTCTCCTGGTGAAACTTGAGGCCTTTTCCTCTTGTCCTATCACTTGTTACTTGGGAGAAGATTCGGACTCCAACCTCTCTACAACCTCCTTTCAGGTTGGTGTAGAGAGCGATAAGGTCTCCCCCAAGCCTCCTTTTCTCCAGACTTAAGATCCCCGGTTCCCTCAGACGCTGTTCATAAGACTTGTTCTCCAGACCCCTCACCAGCTTGGTTGCCCATCTCTGGACATGTTCCAGAATCTCAATGTCCTTCTCGTAGTGAAGGGCCCAAAACTGAACGCAGTACTTGAGGTGGGGCCTCACCAGTGCTGAGTACAGGAGGATGATCACTTCCCTAGTCCTGCTCACATCACTATTCCTGATACAGGCCAGGATGCCACTGGCCTTCTTGGCCGCCTGGGCACACTGCTGGCTCATATTCAGCCGGTTGTCCACCAATACCCCCAGGTGCTTTTCTGCCGGGCAGCTTTCGAGCCACTCTTCCCCAAGCCTGTAATGCCACATGGGGATATTATGATGCAAGTGCAGGACCCGTCACTTGGCCTTGTTGAACTTCATACAATTGGCCTTGGCCCATTGATCCCACCTGTCTAGATCTCTCTGTAGAGCCTTCCCACCCTCAAGCAGATTGACACTCAAGCCCAACTTGGTGTTGTCTGCAAACCTACCGAGGATGCGCTTGATCCCCTTGTCCAGGTCATTGATAAAGATATTAAAGAGATCTGACCCCAGCACCGAGCCCTGGGGAACACCACTTATGAGCAGCCACCAACTGAATTTAACTCCATTCACCACAACTTTTTGGGCCCGACCATCCAGACAGGTTTTTACCCAGCCAGAGTTTTACCCAGTTTTACATAAATGTGTGTAGATATGTAAATAAATATAAACAATTTGAAATTAAAAATGTTAGTGCTGAAATGTCAAAATTAAGTGCAGCTAGCCAGAATTTATAATGAAAAAATAGCACTGAAGTTATAATTACTTAATAGCTCAGCACTTTGGCAGAAAGATCCAAATGTGTTATCTCAGTCATTTAACTGGGACTTACAAATCTAGTACTACGCGTGCCCCCTGAATTGGAGCAAAAGCCCTCAGGAACTTGGAAGAATAAACTGTAAATGAGTGATTAGTTAGTACAGCTGACACTGTGCATACTGTACTGTTTATTTTTGTCTTAGTGGTAGTATACTACAGGTTGTCAATAATGATAGAGAAGCATTCAGAGCATTAATGCTTGTGTTCAATGATAAAGACTAAAGGCTGGGAATGGAACACTCCAGTATTGCTGAATCCAAAATGATTTTCTACCTCCCACACAGAGCCTGAATATTGGGGTATTCACACAAACCAGAAAATTAGGACTAATATGAATCACGGTATCAGCTTGTGTGGGATTGATTCATCTAACCCAATGCAGAAATCTATAGCCCTTCTCATCCTAGAACAGATGTCTAAAATAGGCAGATGTCCTATCTCCACTGAGTAGAAGGAGAGTCTGAGCAACTCCGTGAAATATAGCTGTTTATATTCGACGCATGCAGAGAGATGATACTGCTGATCTCATTCCTCCTCATGCTTAGATTTTCCTGTTTTGTACCAAAACATTCATTCTTATCAGCCTGTGTATGACTAAATCCCTTACACCTAGGACTGCATAACAGTGAAATAAAACCAATAGACTTGAAATTGTGTTTTGGAACTTGATAGATGTGGAGGGTTTTTTTTGCCAACAGGATCAAAGCTCATGCTCAGAATTGTACATTTGGTGGAGGGAAGGTCAGCTGAGGAATAACTAGGAGACACAATTGTGCTGGTTTTGGTTGGGGTAGATTAATTTTCTTTATAGTAGCTAGCATTGGGCTATGTTTTGGATTTTTGTTGGAAACAGAGTTGATAATACAGGGATATTTTAGGTATTGCCGAGCAGTGCTTACACAGAGTCAAGGGCTTTTCTGCTCCTCGTACTGCCTCATCAGCGACTAGGCTGGGGGTGTACAAAAAGTTGGGAGGAGACACAGCCAGGACAGCTGACCCCAACTGACCAAAGGGATATTCCATACCATTTAACATCATGCTTAGCGTGTAAACTAGGGTAAAAGTTGGCCAGGGGGATGCTGCTCATTCCCCCTTGTCTGGGAATCAGTTTTTTGGTGCTGAGCAATTGTTTTTCATTTACATCACTTGTCTTTTGGGTTGTATTTCTCTCCTTTTGTTAGGGTTGGAAGGGACCTCTGGAGATCATCTAGTCCAACCCTCCTGCCAGAGCAGGGTCACCTACAGCACGTTACACAGGACAGCGTCCAGGCGGGTTTTGAATGTCTCCAGAGTGGGAGACTCCACCACCTCTCTGGGCAGCCTGTTCCAGTGCTCCACTACCCTCAAAGTAAAGAAGTTCCTTCTCATGTTAAGATGGAACTTCCTATGTTCAAGTTTATGCCCATTACCCCTCGTCCTATCACTGGGCGCCACTGAAAAAAGACTGCTCCCATCCCCCTGGCATCCTCCCATTAAGTATTTGTATGTATTAATAAGATCCCCCCTCAATCTTCTTTTCTCTAGACTAAAGAGACCCAAGTCCCTCAGCCTTTCCTCATAAGAAAGGTGCTCCAGTCCCCTAATCATCTTTGTTGCCCTTTGCTGGACCCTCTCCAGCAGTTCCCTGTCTTTCTTGAACTGGGGAGCCCAGAACTGGACACAGTACTCCAGATGCGGTCTCACCAGGGCAGAGTAGAGGGGGAGGATGACCTCCCTCGACCTGCTGGCCACACTCTTCTTGATGCACCCCAGGATGCCATTCGCCTTCTTGGCCGCCAGGGCACATTGCTGGCTCATGGTCATCCTGTTGTCCACCAGGACTCCCCGGTCCCTCTCCACAGAGCTGCTCTCCAGGAGGTCAGCCCCCAACCTGTACTGGTGCATGGGGTTATTCCTCCCCAGATGCAGCACCCTACACTTGCCCTTGTTGAATTTCATCAGGTTTCTCTCTGCCCAACTGTCCAGCCTGTCCAGGTCTCGCTGTATGGCGGCACAGCCTTCTGGCGTGTCAGCCACTCCTCCCAGTTTTGTGTCATCAGCAAACTTGCTGATGGTACACTCTATCCCTTCATCCAGATCATTGATGAATATGTTGAACAAGACTGTTCAACAGACTGTTCTTATCCCAACCCATGAGTTCTCTCACTTTTACCCTTTCAATTCTTCCTTTCCCCCCTGCCCTGATCCTGCCTGGGGAAGAGGGGGGAGTGAGGGAGTGGCTGTGTGGTATTTAGTTGCCGGCTGGGGTTAAACTACAACAATCTAAGAGTTTCCATGCTAATTCAGTTGAAATTCTTGTACGTCATACAAACACACTAATACATATATATGTAATTGTTATTAATCAATCATATAAACACCCCTTACATAGAATTGAATAAGCACATTTGTAGTACAAGGCACTTCAAAAGAGAAAATTTACCTTTGAACCCAGCAGCACAATGACATGAAAAGTGGCCAATTAAATCCATACAGGTAGCTCCATTTCTGCAAGGTGAACTTGAGCATTCATTAATTTCAACTTCACAGAAGGGTCCTTCATATCCAGGCACACAGTTACAGCTGTAATTATGCAAGTGGTCCTGACAGAGACCATACTCAGAGCACTGGTTTCCAATGCAGTTGTCTATATCAAGTTCACAAAATGTACCAGTGTAACCAAGGGGACATATGCACCTGTTATTGAAATGAGAGAAGAAAAAAAACAACTAACAAAACACAACACACCAGTCTTGAAGATGTAGGTCAATAATAACTAATAACGTTAACAATATTTTCACTTTGAATTACTCACAAATGAACTGCAATTTTTTTCAATATTCATTCTTTACCTTTAATTAATCACTAAGTAACTTTGTTTCACATAGATTGCTTGCAACAGTTAAATGGAATTGCACAGTCATTAATATCTTAGCTGTTTAGATGGGACAAACCAGTAGCTATATAGCTTTTAATATCAAACTTCCAATGACAATATTCAAATAGAAAACTGGTATAAACTATAAGTATTATGTATTTTAATAATTTCTTTTCTGAAAATTATTGGTTGCCTGCTACAATATCACTAAGAGAAAAAACAATATTACATCCTGCTTGCTCTAGATATAAAATCCGTATAAAAATGGTTTATCATTACAAACAAAGGTTGCAATTTCTGTCTGTAACTGAAAAAAATAAATCTGCTGAATTTCTTTGAAATTGTATAGGATATTTTTTACCCGCAATGTAGGATGACGTATAAATTGCATAAAACTGGAGATGACTTTTTCATGCTTCCTTTTCTTCCAATTTTTTTCTGATATATGAATGAAAACAAAGCTCGATTATCTCATAGTTGATCCACATCTCATAAAATTAGAAAATCCCTTGCATTTGGCAATATGTTCTTTGATTGATCCTCTCCTTATCATGTCCAGAGGTCTCCTCACAAGGGGGGAGATAATCTTACAATAATCTCATATAGTCTTGATCCACAGAGATGTTATCTAGAAGCCGGAAAGAACTAGCATGTTAAGGAAGCCTTGATTATAGCAATTTCCCCTACTGATCCATCTGGCAAAAAGGATATTCTTTTCTTTAACAGAAGCAAATGTTCGTGTGGCTGTTTGCTTCAGTCCTTGCTTATTATTCCTGCATTTTTATGTTGGACTTTTGGAAATTTCCACTTAGACATTTTTATATCCCTATCACAACTCCAACAGGATAATTGTAAGTCAGTAGGAAAAAGACCTCATGTAAGATTCCGTGTACAGAAAGGATTCTATAAAAGATAGCATGATGGTAGCTATTTTGAATGTAATTTCACAAAAGCTTTTTGCAATCTAACTTTTGGACAAAAGAAGTTACAACCATATCCACCACTGGTTTACTTTGTTCTCTGTTCAGTTATGCTCTCATTTTACCTACAATTCTTCCTGGCAAGGGAGAATTTGAAAGACCAAAGAACTTTGTCTATGTACAAACTAGAGATCGAGAGGGGCAGAATACTGGGGGAGCTCTATCTATAATACTAATGAAATACTTCTGAAGAAAAGGGAAGAAGGAAAAGAGATATGTATAAAATGAATAGCTCCTACTGTTTAATCCAATTAACTTTTTTTTTTTTTTTTCTCCCAAGGTAATCTGTGGCCATTATTGCAGCTCTGAGAGTTCAAGAGTAGCATCAGAGCACATAAAAAATTAGGTGATTTTTCCCTTTTGTGTTGTGACTAAAAGAAATCACAATTAAGGCACTTTTATAAGGAGATATTGTTGGTTGTTATGTGGAAGTCTACAGTGTCCTGAGTTTAGAGGTGGTTTAGTCACTTTCTTATAATTAAAAGGCTATTAATCTATCGAAAAAAACGGGTGCTATTAGAAAATAAAACAGTTAATTCTTTAAACAACAAAATCACCAAGTGATTGAGCCACAATTACTATTTTTTGTATGCATATAAACAAATATCAGCTGCTTTTCTTTCCACTGGCTCCTTAGTGGAAGGTCCAGGCTTCCCAGTCAGACTTCTATCAACTTCGTGTCTTTTTGATCCCTAGGAAATTTTTTCACAATACCCAAGGCCTGGCTTTGTGCTCCCTCGTGTCTCAAGGTGCATCTGTATAGCTATTTTAGATCAGATGAGCATAAACCTTTTATGATTTGTTTCCTGGCTGTTCCAAACGGCAGTGTTTTGTATCGCATTGCAGAGCAGTATCAGAGCATGTAAAATTGATTTATTTCAGTTGAAACTAAATAAGTTGATGTGATCCTTAGAGTACAGCTGATGCACACCAGCTGCTAATGGGCTTTTAGTCCATGGACCAAAATAGAGCTTGCTTGAAGGAAGCCCTCAACATCTTGTATAGTGTTGTTGTGAGTCTTCCAGCATCACCATTTTTGCTTTACAGATCCATTGCTACTACACTGAAGTATCAAGTAGGTATAGTTACTGTATTCTCTCTTCCAACCTCAGTCACTCCTTAGCAAAGGAGAAATCTTCCCCTTCTCTTGAGAGCTCCAGCTGCTTCTCTTTTTCACTTTTTAAAGGAATTAAGTTCATACAAATCATCTCATCCAGTTGTTTTACAGCTAAATGTAAATGTTGGTTTGCATAAAATTTTATTATGCATAAACATGTAAAGCGCATGCACTTTTAGTTACCTTTAGCGACACAGTTTCTGAATCCACTGACAGTAAAACTTCAGTATGGAAACGACAAACAGTCATACTATTTTCCTGCTGGAGTTAATCACTTTATTTCCTTGGTTAACTATTTTGTAGTAAAAAAATATTTTTTTTTACAGTAATGATTAGTGTGTGCATTGTGAAAATGCAACTATTCAATCATTCTTTGAAAATGTGGCTCTTATCATTAATATTGAATAGAATATTTAACTTGCAGCTCTCCTTAACAGGAAAAAGAGGACAAAGAGAAAGACTTTCCTATAATTTCCTTATTATTACTGGTTGCGTAGCCTGTGAGACTACAGAAGAACTACACAGAAACATGTAATGGAGAATCTTCTATTTTCAGTTTCATGCTTCTGATTCTGTACTACAAGCAATTATGTTATGAGTATCGTATTTTACAGTGCTTCAGTGTCTGAAGAAACCTAAACCAACTAAGAAAGAAATGTCCTTTGTTTTTCCTGGTGAAATTATAACTGGATATCTTTCAATTTAATATGGCTCATCTCCTGCAGCAGATAAATCAAGGTCTCATTTTTTTAGTTTCTTCATTTCATAATATTACTCAGGAAAAATAAAACAAGATAATGAAGTTTTCTCTTGTCACTCCAGTGTGAAAAATTTACGTGGTTTAGCTATTACGTTACTGCTTTCTTGAATATACAGAAGCTGTTGTGGGTTTTTTCATCATGAACATGAAGAAGACATTATTTCAACATGGTTAAAAAATAAATTTAAAACTGGATCTTCATGTCATGTGAAAAAAACTGGCTTACTTATTCAGCTAGTCAATCCCAAATTTGTAGCAGTGGCCCAAAACAATGTAAAACTACAGAGTAATGGTGCAAAAAGAGGTCGTCTTCTGTTAGTGTTTACCAAACACATATGTTAATGCAAACAGGAGTATTCTAGTCTTCTTAATAACAAGTTAGTTTCTTACTGTGTGTTCAGGATTAAAACATCTAAGAATCATTCTTTTATTATTTATAACCCAGACAGGTTTAGAGGTGATAAGATCTAGAAGTTCAATAAAATCCTTATAAACATAATCTATAATAATCTACATCAAATTCTAATGGCATGTTTACAAATAGCTTTAGTACATAACAGCATATATGGAAAACCTGCAAAGGAAGATTAAAATATATTTAAATGAATAAGTTAGTGATAGTCTTTATTTAAAATCTGTACTTTATAATGTGTCTACTTTTCAATAAACATGGGCCATTTTTATGCAGTAAAAGTCTAAACTAGCCAGGTCTTAAACTTTGATGCATTTTTTGTTAATTTAAAAGCATTAACATATAATAGTTACCATTTACATTAATGCATTATATACTCAACAGTACTATGTACAAAACAGACACGGATTAGACTGTGCGTATTTCTTAAATTTAATGTATAATGGTGTAAGTGCAGTTCTTTGGGCTTTGGCTATCAGCATCTGACTGCATTTATTTGTAGCTTTAATCGTTTTATAAGATTCTAAATGATCCAAGTTGTTAGATATTATCTTTTCATCTCTAAGTCAATCTATGAAATGGATCTTGAACACAGTTTTGTTAAACACTGTGCTGGTATAACACTGACTTAACTGAACTTCAAATATCTTTTCCTGTCTGTCTTTGAAATGATATCAAAACCAATGATCTCTAAGTAATTAAGTCTTTTACACTTGTAGTAGGAAAAATACCATCACCACATCAGATTTTAATGAATACGACCTTGCATTAATACTTCAGCAGCACTAAAATACTGAACATGATATCAAAAGCTTTGAATCATGTATTGATTTGCAGTTTTCATTTGCTGCAAAGCTGAAATACTTCTCTACAATAAATTAAAAAGAGTTTGTATACAGATATCTATGATACCAGAATTTCTATTTGTGAGTGAATCTCTAGCTCAGGAAACATGTTTTTTTCCCCTTATCAGAGGGATGCCCCTGCTGCGTGCTGACACATCAATGCAGGGGCACAGCTTTGCCATGGTCGCAGTTGGGTTACAATGCTATAACCCCTGCCCCAAGGCCCAGTCACTGCTGCCTTCCCTGCTCCAGCTTCAGCTCTGGAGATGGTCCCTCTGGGGTGGGGGGAACACCTCCCAGCAAAGACCAGGAGATGCTAGTGACACCCCCCAACTGCTTTCTTAAGGAAGGGTAAAATGTCAACCTTACAAACTAGGTGAACCTTGACAGGATAAGCATGGCACCAAAGAAAAGGTAAATATGAAGAAGCTTTGTATTAAACGTTAATGGGAATAACAATAATTTCTTAGCTTCACCTATGTCCTCTTTTGTCTATAGCAAGATTTCGAGCGCAAGAGATTCTGGGAAGGAAAATCAATACCTCAATGCTTTTGCTACAAACCTGGATTTTAGTAGTGGATACCAAACTCAAGCCACAGTTGCCTTATTGTTGTTTGCTTTGGTCCCACACATATCATGTAGATGACTGTACGTAGTTACGCCACTGCCTAAATCTACTCAATATTGCACAATAATTTGATATGCCTGTGAAATAAATGAAAAAAATGGAGATGCGCAGAAGTCAGACATAAAATTTAGTCCTTGAAGGAACATGTTACTCAGATGAAGATGGTCACGGCATAGCTGCAATGTGTTCCTACCAATATGGAGTAGGATATAAACCAACATGCAGTAGGATATAACTTTTTATCAGTGAAGGTCCAGAACAGCAGGTGTGCGGGTAAACAAGCTGGTACTCGTTAGTCAAGGCAGGGCAGCTGTCACAAAGTCACCACAGACTCTCTGCACTAAAGAGATATAGTACAACTTATGCCATTGAGTAAATAACTGTGTAGAATGGATGAACCTTTAACTGAAAGAAGCCAAAGACTAGACTGAAAAGCCAGTTATGCTGATCTGTGCTAGGAGATGACGCGGCTATTTTCTATCTTGAGACAGAAGGCACATAGGAGCACAGAAGCTTGCCGTTAGCAAAGACTTCCCAGTATCTCTCTATTTGTTTTTTAATAAATTTTGTTGTTGGTGGTTTTGTTTTGTTTTGTTTTTAATTAAATAGTCCAAGCAGATTAACTGCATTTATACAGTATTAATTATTATGTTTTCTAGTTGAAATATGAACTGCACACACATTCATAAATGGACTAAAAGGTTATTTAATTTCACTTTGGCTTTTTGTAAGTATCCGTATTCTCTGCAGAAAAGCTGTTGTATAGCTTATTACAGAGATACTCCCTAAGAAATTGCAACATATATTCACCTACCTCCTGGAGTTGTAGCAAGGCGAGGAAAAGGATTTTTCCTCTTTCTCGTGTGGAAGAAGCCTATTATTGCTACAGAAAACTGTATGTATATCATAGTACTAACTTTATATAGTACTGCCAACTAGGTCCTGTAGTCAAATTGCGTATGTAGTATATGATGAATAAACTTGAAAACGGAAAATTAGATATAAAAGATAATCTAATCAAACATCTTAGTTCATCCAGCTGGCAGGAAATGGGAAAAGTCAAGGATGAATAAAGGAATAGAAGCTTTAAGTGCTGTGATACTCAGAATTTATCTAAATTATGTTTACTTTTCATAATCTTTCTGGCATCATGCAAATAAATGTTTCATATTCTAAAGCATTTTATTTAATGATGATACCACTAGGTAAGGCTTTACTCTTTCCAAGTGAGATTAATTCAAGACTAAATTATACATGCTGAAATTTATATACTGAATACTGAAAAATGAGTTGGCAATTCAAGCTTCACTGTACATCAAATCTAACTTCTTAATGGGAAATTTCCTTGCATAAAAACTCATGAAATATTGACCTCAGAGCTATATCTATAGAATAAAATATGTTTTAGAACATAATAGTTTATCATGACCTTTTAAACAGTGATAAAGCCTACTATACAGCTTCTTCGAATGTCTTAATCTAACAGTTCTCGGTCCTTGCTGGATTTTCCTTGGCCTATGACCAGTGTAGAACTTAATCTGAATAAACTGGACTGAAGAAACAGGACAAGTAATGGAAACTACATAAAATTTTAAATGATGTCTTTTTGCTGTGTTCCTCCCCTTCACTAAATAGATTACAGTAAAATATTTATCAGGACTTATTTCAGTTAGGATCTTGATTGTCCAAAATGTAACATTGGGAAAAAAAATATATTTACAAGGGTGAAGAAAACAGAGTAATAACACACACCTCTCCCCCTCCCCCCATCTTGGATATTGAAACAGGAGGATCAACTCCTTGAAGAGTTCTTTCACTTTAATTATTCATTAAGTGCTTCTCATTGGGCCGTGTTAAATTGGTTCTTCTCTCTTTTCTTCTACAGAGATCATAATGAAATGATAGAGGTTCTTTGAAAGGAAAATTCAAATAATTTTTATACAACAACACTGTGTATTTACTGAGGTAATGAATAGTCTCTGTTTTTTCTCTCAGGTATATATGACCAAAGGTCAAAAGATTATTTTGGCATGTGGATGCAATTGATCCAATGCATAGTATCTGCCAGATTCATTGTATCAACAGCTACAGCATTAACCCAGTGGGAGGAGCAGTAATCCTTTGGAGAAGTTATCACTTTAAATACATGTTAATTAACTTACGTTACGATATCTCAAACAGCAGAGACTCAGCTGGAAGTACAATACTTCATTTGAATTAATAAAAGGGTTTGTGTCAGTGTGATTGAGGCCACTTTAGTTGTAAGAGAAGCGTCACTAAACCAAAGGAGTAAAACACCTAAGACTTATTATTGCGATTATGTTGCACTTATTATGTAGCCTTTCTGAATGTTATACTATATCACAGTTTTAAAGTCCCCTTCCTTTACCCGGAGCAATTCCCCATCCTAAACTCAAAGGAAATTCTCTGCATATATTAAATATACATCAATGTGACACTGTCTGGAACAGTGCTTTTAAAAACGGGAGGAGAAACAGAATATGTGATGGGAAGGAGACAGAAATTTAGAAAAATTACATACAGCTGAATGCTTATTTGCCAATCTGGAAAAACCTGACAACTTCAGGTTTTTTGAATGTAAGAGCTTAAAAGACAGGGATGTTCTTGAAGCTAATCTGGATACTTTCCATGGTTTCCTGGACTTAGCATTACTATAACAAACACCACTGGAAAAATACTTCATGAGTAAAGTTTAATAATTAGTTTAGAAGTTAAGATTTCTTAAGTGGGAGAAAAGTCTAGAATTTTACACTAATTTTCCATAAATAAAAAAATTACTACAAAACATTTTGGCTTAGTAAGTGGAGGAGACAAAGGTAAGTGATGTTTTGAATAACTATAATAGCTTTAAAAATGAATCTCACTAGGGTTGTTAATGGCACTTACACATCTAATTCTCCATTTAGTCTGCTGACAATCTTTTTATGTCTTTCTGAAACTACTTTACATCAAGTACAGCTCTGATAACTGCCTTATCAAAAATGATACCCAAGTTAGGATAAAAAAGCAAATTGCAAGAGTCTTTTGAAAGAGTTGGGTGACTACAGTTGTTAAGTTCAGTATTCCCTCTCTTATTCTTTTTGCTTAAATGGCTTATTGGAAAGGGGAAATAACAATTGTTTCACTTACTGACAATAAATAACTCTTGGGAAATATCATTCTTTTTAAGGAAGAAAAAGTTCAATTCTCTTAAAAAATGCTTCACTGTCATTGAGAAACAAGTCTGTCAACAGAGCAGGTATTATACAGTAAACACTCTGCACATTGTCTTTGCAAAATAATCAATTTTGTTTCTGTTGGGTCAGGTTCTCTGATAACAAAACTGTCTGCTAACACATCTAAGGTCTGGATCTTAATGGTATGTTTTCGTGTTCCTTGTCAACTTAATTTGTCTTTCAAAGACTGAAAATCAGAAAAAAAGAATTAAGTGTTTTCTCTCAGTTGTCTGGATTAGCGAGCTAAATTCAGAAGGGCTTATTTTACCAGAAGTGTTCAGACCTACTAATTTTTCTGTAAATGCTAGTGGATTTTTTGAGGTAAACATGGCTTTGTTTTTCTATCAAAATTCCTTTCCTGATACAGACAGGAAAACCACAGATTTATCAATCAAATAAAATGTCAAAATATGGCCCAGTAATTTGACATGAGAGTTGATTGCAAGCTGGTAAAAAGAAAGGTTGTATACTTAGTAAGGACTTTATGGTAAAAATTCCTCTTAACTCTGGTATATTGAGAATTGTATATTTACATGTATTTGCGTGCTTATTTAGGGATTTCAGTTATTGTTACAGAATTTCTTATAAAAAAAAGAGGTAGAGTGGAAGAAATTTTTAATTACTTCTATTTTAATCTTGTACTCTCTTGCAATCTTTTTTAAACAGAACTATTAAAGCATATTAATTACACTGCTTCTAATTACAGGACACAGCATAAAATCAAAGCCTTTCAAAAATACATTCACAGACATTATGGAGAGATTTTAGTTATTCTGTTTTTTTTTTTTTTAGAGGAAAAATAAATAATTCAAATATGGTAAGAACAGCTGAACTCAAACCTCTACAGCTCACTAAGGAAAGCACATACTTGACAGCTTTGTCAATACCTGAAAAAAAAAGAAAAAAAAAAAACAAACCACAAAAACCCACAAATAACTCATCATTTCAATTATTCACACTATTCACTTGAAAATTGTAATTCAAGTTTTAATAAGAAAAGTCACTCCATGTCACACGCCAGGCTCAGAAAGTGTTTGCCATTTACTAAAATAGATGATTTGTTTATCTGACATTTTGCATAGTTGGTTTAACTTCTTTGTCCCATGAAGAGGAATATTTGCAAGGCCTTCCTGTGCAATACTTCAGACTACGCAGTCTTACTGAATGCATATGCTTATTGACAGTTAGTATCCATGGCATTTTCTAATCTGAGAAAAATATTACTGCACTAGAAACTCCCTTTGTAATTCTTATTCAAAGCAAAAATATCATCATACAGCATAAACATCTTTATGAAGGCTTGTACGGAAAGCATTGTGTTAGTACCTGTATTTATTAATTCCATCTTCACATGTGGCTCCATGTTGGCACTGGTTTACTTCACAGTCATTAATATTCTCTAGGCATGTTTGTCCTGTCCATCCAAGAGCACAGACACAGTGAGATCTCTGGTTTTCTTCATCGTAGAAGCAGCTACCTTCATTTGCACATACCTGAAGATGAGAAGAATAACTACATACAGGTTTTTCCTCTATGTGTTGGGCTTTTTTCCCCAAGGAGTTTAACTGCACAAACCGTTGGTAACAGATATGGTTATTTAATGTTTTTATGTTGTAATATTATAAAAGACACATCTCCAAGATCTTAAAACACTGAATGCCATTAAATCAATATATCAATTCATAGTTTAGTTGGAAAGAAGCATTTATGATTCAATTTAACACTGCCATTTTCATAACTGGCCTTAAAATGTGCTTGTTTTAGGAGGGGTGATAGTGAACTATCCTGTTATTTTTCCATTGGAAGAGTAGAACTACTGTTCCTGTGCTTAAAATCTATGTATAAATTGATCAAATTTGTGGCTATCAGGGGGAAAAAAAAAAAAAAAAGACTGAATAATTTCTTAATTTTAATCATAATTCTGATTCATAATCTGTACTTGATTTTTTTTTTTTCTTTCAGTAGGTATGTAAATATTATATCTATGCTCTGAGATCAGAACCTGCAGATATTGAAAAATTACCAAACCTGGACTGAAAAAGTATTTTTTTTTCTTTTAGCTTTTATTTGTTAATATTACTTAATAAAACAGTATTTGATGTATCCTTCAAAAATCACAGAAAGTTCTAGAATGTAATGAACACTCCTTTTTTCATTTTACTTTTAGGGTCCCATTTAATTTCCATGAAAATTTTGCTAGTGTAAAAATGGATAACTACATTTTCATTTGAAAGCAATTAAGACCTCTCCCTCTAATCAATTGGTTTCTAAAGAAAATGGTGTCTAGAAGATGAGCTAATGCACTAGTACTTCAGTTTGATTGAGTCTGAATCACTTTATAATGTCATTAAGATTTGTAATAATAACAGTTCTTGGCAGAAATCCTCTAATATTCATTTGTCTTTGATTAAGTTTTAAATTGACCTTAAAATTAAGAGTTTTTTGCTATGCTCTCAGTACTAAATGTTAGACATAACTTGGGAGTCTTTTTCAATAGGACACGTCTTGAAGAAAAGCACTGCTCAACATAAATGCAAAGAAAAGTCCTGTGTGTATAGTTTTGGAAATATTCTTTTAAAATTATTTATATGTGTTGTCTTACTTTTTATTTAAACCTTTCTGTAGGATTTTGTCCTCAGGCTTACTATTTGCTCAAAGAACTCAAATAAGCTGACACTCAAGAAAACCATCTAGAAAAAATGTAGACAATTAAGACAAAAGTTATATTTCAATATTGCTACGGTATTATAGACATTATATTCTAATATTTTTTCATACTTTGTACTGTGAAGAAAGGTGTTACCCTTTAAGATGTTAGTGCAAGTTAAAGCAACCTAAAATTAAAGCTATGGAAGATATTTTTAGCATCAAATTTAGTTAGTAGTTTTCTCTATCAGATAGATTTTTATCTCTGCTGTAAAATTAATTCCCTATCAGTTTAAGTATTGAAAAATCTGAGTTGGAATGCCAAAGGATTTTATAAGAAATTAAGGCTAAATACATTTATTATCTATTACTGAAGTCAAACTAAATACTTCTACACTGTGGTTTTCTAAACTTTAAACCCATATTGTGGTTTTCTAAAGTTACTACAGAGATTTATTGGTTACTTTTTAATACAAGAAATCCTTTTAAATGAAAATAAATAGACAAACAGACTTTTGGAAAGAGCAGCATCTTCCTATCAATCAACTTTTTCTTCTTCCCAAAGTAAATATTCCTCATAGTTAGGATTAAACACAAATCTCATGAATTAACAGACCATAAACAAGAGCTCATCTGGTCAGTCTGATCATCACGCTTCTGTCTACCACCAGTAATTTAAAACAAATCTGCCTTATTATGTAGTCTTGAAAAAACATAGGAATCACTTCCTTCTGATATCAATGAGAAAATGTTACTACAGCAAGGAAAGATAATTAGTTATAAGATGATTACATTTTATTCTTTGCCTTTTTTCACTTTACAGTAATTGAGGAAAGTGACCCTACTATAGGGCTGTCTCTTCCTTTCTAACCCTACTATATCACTCTCCCTCCTCAAAACAAAAATTTAAGAAGGTCAAGAAATAACTGCTGAAAAGTCTCAAAGAAATTATGAAAAAAATGGAAAGCTATGATTAATATGAAAGAAGTACTCTGCTTAATGTAACTGTTTGTAGATTTCACTTTTACCTACGTTGTAGATGTTATTGAATCATTCCTTGAGAAGCAAATGTTTAAATCCTTATACTGCCTATAAGCAGAACCTGATCCCTTTCTTGGTCTCCAGAATATAAGTTAGTTCTCTTAATTTGTGCAGATTCAGTTCCATGATGTTTCCTTTTATTCATTTTTTCTACTCTGACTCCTGACATATAAGCATTATTTTTGCACCCATATATGTAATAAGTATTGTTAAACCAGTTTCTAAGAAGCAAACTTTGTAGAGAACTATATCAAAAATATATTTCTACAGATGGCTATATTGCTCAGCATCTAAAATCCTACCTCCAGTACCTACTAGCACTACTAATTGAATAGTCATTGAATTTCTTATTTTGGAGATTAATTTCACATAACAATCCTGAAGTTCACAGATGTCACTTGTCCTTTGCAAATGTACACACTAAATTCCATCCTACTTTTCCAGATCATTTCTCCGAGGTGGTGTCAGATTCAGTTTTATCGTGTGTAGTGTATTCCACCATTCAGAAAGAAAATACTAAGTGGAACTGGGTGCAAGTCAGGTCCTTGCAGAACACTACTTATTATTTCACTTGTACATTTGTCCAGGAAACTACTACTAGAATAATTGAGTATAATTATCTTATCTGCTTATCATCAAGCTGGAGCAGGTGTATTGTTTCATAGGCTTGCTTATGAGATTACTACATGAGAAGCTAATGTATTTCAACTTTGTAAAACTTTTTACTTTTGGCATTTCTATTCTTGTTATAGAAAGAAAATAAATTGGCTTGAAATTATTAACTTCTGGCATTTTTTGGCTTACTACCCCTCCCTCCCTTTGCTTTTTTTTTTTTTTTTTTAAACTTCCTTGAAAATAACATTTTTTCCAGAAACTTCAAATCTATTGATTGCAAATAATTAACGAAGGTTTTATTTCTGGATATATGAATGTAAATAATTAATAAGGTATATAATAATGTCTCCCTCTTCCTATTTTTCCTGTCTATGTTATCCTGTACAGGTTGTCAGTCACCTGGTGTTTCAAAGCCAGCCTCCTCCAAATTTTTAGTGAAGCCTCCAAATTTTTTGTGAAGTTCCCCAGAGCAATTATCTATTAAACCATATAAGTATTTTCTTCCTTGTTTAAATGTTGAAAAATTTACTTTATACCAGGAAAGCATAAATTGAAAACACCATCAAGATTTGAGGCCAACAAGTCTCTCTTTACACATAAGTTCCTTAAACAGATTGGCAAAGATGCACACATACAAATTGTTTTCATGAAGGCTCCTTAAAATCTATTTAAATCAATCTATCTGTGCATTATTTGCAATATTTCAGGACTGCAAAGTCAACCTCTAATCTGAAAGTCAAACATCACATCATGTCACATGCATCACAAGCAACAGATTTGCTGAAGAGAGTTATTTGCGGCTAGAGCTTTGAGGTTAACCAGAAAAGTCTTATTGCAAATTTTCGCTCCTTCAAGATCTTTTAGGTGGTGGGTTTTTTTTGTTTTTTTTTGTTTTTTTTCCTCTTAATACATCAAGCTCAAAGAAAACAACATAAGCATCCATACTTCATTTATATGACTTTTCCATGATTTAAGTGATTGTCTTACTTAGCCACACCCACCAAAAATAACCACACATCTTAGGATGCCTCTGTGTTTGTGATTGTTTGGGTCAGTCACAGGTGGGCTTTTGAAGTGAATAATCTTTCCAGGGAGATGCTTAGAGTTCACACCACGGGAGGTTTTCAAGATGTGATTAGACAGCACGCTAGATAATCTCACCTGGGCTCCCTTTCCTGTGAAAGGTTGAACTTAGATGGTCTTTTGAGGTCACTTCCAACCTGGATTGTTCTGTGATCTATGCCCAGTATGTTGCTCTACAGTTATTTATTATTACCATTGCTTTTATCAAATCTCTCTGACCTCCTGTTAATAAAAAAGTCGAGGTTTGTTGCATACATCCTATATTTAAATGGGACAAGAATATTTTCTTTATTTCTTTGGATGTCATCCTGACTAGACGAGAGAAGAAAAGACATAATGTGAAGTGGACAAATTTGGTCTTGCTGAAAGTCATTAATTTAAAGTTGCCAAATGTTTTATTTATGTGAAGATCCTTCATAATTGTAGGTACAGACTACAGTCTTTATCGTGGTTACAAAGTTAAGATTAGATTTTGAAACTTAAAAGAGGATATTCCCCCTTTTAATAAATTCACATTTTTTTCATTTATTTATTTTAAAATAAATGATAATAAAGATTTTATTAAAACAACCTTAATGTTTTAAGTGTTCTACTGGGAAAGAAAAACAGCACCCCAATTTTTTGAACAAATTGTATCATTATACCATTATACATTTATAGAGAGAAAGAAGAGCCAAACTTAAATTTACTTTCTGGGGTTTTTTTTAAGAAAATATTAAAAATAGTACCATTCTTTTCAGTCTATTGTGCTGAATACACAGAAGTGAAACAGTTCGGCACAACTAAGGTACTATTGGAAACAGAAAAGAAATGAAAGAATGCAAAAATATATACTTACTTTTCAACCACAAAGAATAAATAAAGAATTAAATGTTGAATTATGTAATTTACTGAATAATATAAACCTTTAATTTCAAATTATTTCTTAAACTACTTCAAAAAGTATTCAAATATTCATTTTTTTTAATAAGGCCCTTATTTTTTCCAATAAGCAAATGGTGCTATTTTCATGATCTGTAGGCTAAGAAAACAAGAAAACCCTAAATATATCAGTCCTTTATTTTAGTTTCTATTCCCTTTCCCATTACAAAATCTACTAATTATTCACATTATGCCCAAATTGTCTCATGCAGTGAGAGAATATAGATACATATATATTATTACATTTTTTCCCACACAAAATTTATGATGGTCTATAAAATGTTTGCATGAATAAATTAAATACGTCTGAGGGCTTTTAAGCAAATATTACAGTAAAATGTTTTAGTAGCTCCCATCAGCATCCTTGGCACACTATCACTTCCCATCCTAACTAGCCATAATGATTATTGTATCATTATGGTGTTATGCCATGTACAATAAATTTGCACTCAGTATGACACTTTAAATCATAAAAATGTTTAAATTTACCAGATGTTGAACAATTTAAATATAAACCTTTGAGCCACTGAGTATTTCAGTGCTGCATTTCATATTCATTGGTGAGTGTGTACCCGTGGACTTCAAGGTGACATAAATGTTGATTGCTTCTTTGTAAATACATTGCCTGCTCTGCATAGTATATTTTTATGGTGGATATATTTCAATAAAAGAATTGATTAAGCCTTTGAAACACTGGTTATCATGTTTGAGCAGCTGTTTGAAAGGGCCATATAGCATTGTGTACATAGCTTTTAAAATAACTATCATAATAAAAAAGTGTAACTGTATTTTACTTTATCCCATATTGAAATCTCAGTAACTCAAGGGCCTGGGTCTGTAGTCCACATAGACCACTGATGTGAATGAATCCTACCCAAACCAGGAATTTATTTGAAAAGGTCGCTAAAGGGAGTTGAGAAGGATATGGCAAATAGATTTCTTAAAAATATCTGTGTACACAATGGATGCTATTTTGGCCTAAGCATTGTCAGTATCCAACTTAAATATTTCTAGAATAATTTAAATGTACACAATTTGAATTTGTTACTATATTCTGTGAGCATTTTAGAGTAACTTGCAAGGAGAATGTTGATTTTTTTCTAACTGTATTTTCAGGTCTCGTTGCAGTGTAGTTAGTCTTGCTTTAGTTTTGTTGTTGTTTGGTTCATTATGGTCTCTATTATTATTTTTAATGGAAAGTAAGCTTTTGTCATTCTTTCTGTACATTGATGTACTATCAGCCTTCTCTCTAATGACTTTTAAACACATCAAATATTTTAAGGAAATTTCACCTTAAGTTCCTACAAGTTTCACATTGTAGCAGTAGTAGGTAGTGGACAGAATGAGATATCAGTGACTAAATCTATAAAGAGCAGGAAAGGCAGACTTCAGACACTACATGGTTTGTAAGACAATGACCAGACTAGTCACATCATGAACTTTTGGATGTGCATGTTGCACAGGAAGGAGGAACTAGTCACATCATGAACTTTTGGATGTGCGTGTTGCACAGGAAGGAGCATGTTCTCATGTTAGCATGAGAAAATATCAAGAACGAGTACTGTGTTTAAGAAAGCCATGAGAAAGGAGGCTTCGTCAGCTCACTGCTCCAAGAATAACTTGTTTGATTTCCCAAAAACACTGAGGGGAATATATCACTTTATCCTACCTCTGTGTTTCCAATACATGGTGATAAACACGTGTAATTAAATCCATGAGATTTATCCATACACAGTGCTCCTGGGGCACAGCTTATATTGTAGAATAGGCAGGCGTCAATATCCAGTTCACATCTTTCACCTTCAAAACCTGCACCACAAAGGGAATGTTTAATCACAGTTCATTCAGAATATTGACATTATGTCTGTTCAGGGTGTTAGCAGTTAACACCACTCTACTAGAGTAATTTGGCAGTTTTATTTCCTAAACAAAGTGAAAAAATGGGATTCTTCATAAAAACGTTCATTGCGTATGCTGAGATATATTGTTATTTTAATGTTGCTATTTCTTAAACTTAAATATTTGGATGACAGGTTTTTTGTTCTGTTTGGAAAATACAATAAATTTCCAATGACTTACCTGCAGGGCAAACGCACTTAAAATGATCTTTGTAGTCAACACATGTTCCTCCATTTTCACATGAATTGGTACTACAGTTATCAATTTGCACCTCGCAGAATTCTCCTGGGGTTGAAAAAAAAAAAAAAATCCTAAAAAGGTTAATTATTATGTTGTGTTCTTAAAAAAAAACATGAACCATATTAGTAATATTGGTAAAATAACTATTACTTCAAATAATCTTTCTGGAATATTGTTTAGAATTTAAAGACCTTGAGTAAGCTTCCGAACTCCTTTCTCTCCATTTATATAAAAAAAAAAAAAACCACAACAAAACAAAAAACCAAACAAACAAAAAAAAACCCAAAAACCTCAGAATCTTAAGAAAAAGGTCAAAACACATGCTTTCAGCATTAAAAAACAGTTTTAAATAGGATCCAGTTGGGAATATGGAGCTGAAGAGGTAGGATTTTCACCAGAAAAAATTATCTGAAATGGAGGGAATAACTTTGCCTTTTCTTCTACTTTTTACTGCTGCATGAGTCAACCCTGATCTCTACTCAAGACTTTAAATTCTGTTCTGTATATATTTGATTATGTCTTTTCTGGGCTCCATTTTGGCTATAAACAAGCTCGTCCACATTTGTCTGAGGTAACCTTTAGTGTCATTCTACTGAACAACTACTTGCTCATTTAGCTGAAGACCTTTTTCTTAGCTCAGCATGAAGTAATAACTGAACTTATAACTGGACAGTTTTAAAAAAAATGTACTGACGAAAAATATATCTCTAGCAATGTGGTAACAGTCAATAAGGAAGACAGTCAGCTTTCCACTCTTGGAAAACCAGTAGATTTGACAAAAAAAGAAAAGACATTAAGGTTTTCTTCTTCTTTTTGGTACTGAAAACAATATAATGAATTCTGTGCAAGGGTTCTTGAGATGTTTTTTCTTATTATTGGTGTGCTATTGTTCCTTTTTGCATTATTTGTTTTTTTAATTATTTTTAATTTACTATTTCTACAGCAGGAGTTCTGTAAATTTTTTTTTTCAATTTTAGAAAAGATAAAGAATAGAGAAATGAAAGGTGAAACAATCTTTAATGTTGAGAAAAATAGAAGATGGAAGAGTTTTGAAAAGTTTCAAAGAGGAAAACTTCAGAAAAGAAAAGAAGAGTATATTACTAATGTTTTTACCACCAACTTGTTTGTAATCAGTGTTACTTTTCTCAGTGGTTTAAGCAGAAAAAAATGGAAGAGCTGTACTGGAGAAAAATGTTTGGAAGAGATGTACAAGAAATTGGGATTATTTCTTTAATCAGGCAATATGTTCTTTAAAATGTGTCAAAAGTTAGTATTCTATTTGAAATTCTTCATATGGCAAAAAAACCCAATAATTTTACTTCAAATAATGAAATTTATTTTAATTTTTCAGACAGCTATCCTTTTGATCTAAAGCCAGAGACATCAGGAGAACATGAACTAATAGTATAAAATTTGGTAAGAAATGACTACGTCTCTGTTTCAGCAAAGCATTTCTGCCAACTTCATTAACTTTCCTCCATTCCTAATATAAAATACTTAAACTTCAAGAAATATACACTCCATCTTTTAACATGCTGAAATGATGTGTCAAACTAAGACCTGAGGATTGCTTTTTATGGACTTCTGTAGATGTAAACAGTAATATACTTATTAAGGCCTTAATGCTGTGATTAGTTGGCCAGAAACCTCTATCTTGGGCCAACAGGTACTGAACCACATGTACAGTCTCATGTATTTAGAGGTTGACCAGCATGCTATACAGACTTTTAATGTTTATTTTGTCCCTTTGCTCCTCAGCCAAAAATAGTCCAGTATTAACATATATCAATTTTGCAACAGCAGAGTATATTTTACTTGAAGTCATAAAGCTTACTGAATTATAAATACTTTTGTAAGTATATTATTACTGTAAAATTTAAAAAATAGAGAAAATATGGAATTAGATACTTCTTGCTGTTTGTTATTATAATATAGTATGTAATATTACATGGGTAACCACGGACAACATAACCTTGCATTCACAAGACTCTTAGTTGCTCACTTTGTATTGAAAGTAATCGTAACTATATGTTTCTGTACCTCTGGGGAAATATCATTGTGATTAATGCTTTTAGAAAACCATGGTGTGAGCCAGGACAAGAGTTATAAAATGTAACTTTTTGTGATATCAGTTGGCAAAATGTCATGCTAAAAAATAATTAGATATTTTAGTTGTGAAATCGACTGAATGTATTGAGAAATTTTCTATCTCCTAGGAAATGTAGGGGTTTTTCTTTTTTTTTTTTTTTCTTCTTAATGAGGTCTGGAAGACAAAATCAGAAAAAAAAAGGTGTGAATAAACTTAATATGTATTTTGGATCCATTTTTTCATATTTATTCATGAAGGTGGAATTGCCTTGTCCAAAACACCCTTATGAATAAATATTAGTACAATCAAACTGGCTTAAAGAATTGTCTTGCTATAAATCTGAAATCCTTATAATGGCTGTATCCCTTAAGTGAACTTTACAACTTTTCCCTGCCACAATGAGGTCAAGAAAACCTAGTAACTCCAAACTGTTATAAAATTTATTAGAATCTGAATGCTGCTGAGAAATGCATAATTTATGGTATTAAGATCTGATTAAGTGTTAAATGGATGTCAGGAGAGATCTCCACAGTAATCCACTTAGCTTTTAATGCCTAATTATCACTTCATAGTGAGTGAGGGCTGAATAATTGAGAAATGCAATACTTAGAGAACTCAAACAAGATTTTTGTGCACAATTAAGCATGTTATTCTTCTGTCAGGAATAAGTTCAGCAAGGAACAAAGGAAAAAATAAATTATACAGCATAAGAGGGAGAGAAAATAATTTGATTAAAGAGTTTACTGTTGTACTGTTTATTTTTAAAAATCATCTCAAGCATTTTTTACCTAAGCTTGTGTTCTTACAAGTTAATTGTTTAATTACAAATTCTATACCCAAGTTATCAGTGAAATAAAGTGTGACCACAAAGAGGCACAAACTGAGGTTATGCATGGACATCAGGAAACATTTTTTTACTATAAGGGTGACCGAGCACTAGAACAGGTTACCGAGAGATATGGTGTCTCCCTCCTTGGAGATATTCAGAAGCCATCTGGACACAGTCCTGGGCAACCTGTTCTAGGTGACCCTGCTTGAGCAAGGGAGTTGGACAAGATGACCTCCAGAGGTCCCAGGATTGCCTCATCCAAGGTGGAGAATCTGGCAGTTCAATACACTTAATCTCTTGAAGATGGGGTTGGCATTTAACTTTTTCCAGTCAAGGACCTCACCAGCTTATCATGACTTTTTAAAGATGATAATGACCTCACAATGACATTGGCCAGTTTCCTCAGCACCCTTTGGTATGTCTCTTTGGGTCCTATGGACCTGCACATGCCCAAAGTACTTATGTGCCCTAGAAGTGTCTTCCTCTACTGTAAGTAATGCTACATTCCCAGACTTTGTCTGCTACTAGGCTCAAGAAAATGGAAGGCACCTGAGCACCCACCTGTGAAAACTGAGGCATAAAAAGCAATTTACTTTGAATTGTACCCACTGCCCCATTGTGCAGAGGGCCCTTATTGTCCTTGTCTTTTCTTTTGCTACCAGTATACTTAGAGAATACTTTCTTGTCCTCCCTGATTCTTGACAGCTTCATCTCCAGCTGAGCTTTAGCTTTTCTAAACTCATTCATGCACATTTGGGTAATGTCTCCATATTCCTCTCAAGCAGTTCATCCCCACTTCCACTTTCTGTGTGCTATGGGATGAGACATTTAACTACATTAGCATATTAAACATGAAAGAATGAATACACCTTGCTTCTTATGTGTGTTTGTTAGCTTGGAATCCATGATGCAATAAAGCAACTACATAGTTCTGGGTTTGGTAGCAGTCAGCTAAGAAAAAGATAAACTAGCATACTTATGTCTGTACCTGATTATATACTTACTAGTGAATTTAAATAAACTATAACGAATAATGAAATCCAGGTGATATTCGCCTAAGAATTCTAAATGACTAAGCTATGCCATTGCTGAAGTAGCATCAGTGGCACGTGCCCAACCATTTAAATTTACTTTGGGACCAGAAGAAGGAAAATTGGCAAATGCAATACAAATTCTGAAGGAAAACATGAAGGGCTTTACCATGTAGCCCTGCGATACAATGCTGCCGCTGCTAGCAATAGGCCATAAGCTTTGCACTGAATTTGGAAGGCCTCAGGACTGAGTGTCATCAGGCTTGATTTGTCTTTCCTGCAGTGACGTTTTACTTGGTTTAACTGTGACAGCATTTTTTTCTTCTAATTTGCTTTACTTTTGTTTATCTTTGTATGGTACAACCATAGGTTAATATAGATAGTAGTAACAAATAGTTATTTGAAACAGAATGAGATTTACAACTCTAATGCAATGCTGCAAAGAAATGCAGGGTTGGTACAATAACAGGGGCCTTGGGAAGTGGAAACACCAGATGAACATGGGAACATGGGAAGTTCCATCTAAACACAAGGAGGAACTTCTTTAATTTGAGGGTGGCAGAGCACTGGCACAGGCTGCCCAGAGAGGTTGTGGAGTCTCCCACTCTGGAGACATTCAAAACCCGCCTGGGCACCATCCTGTGCAACCTGCTGTAGATGAACCTGCTCTGGCAGGGGGGTTGGACTAGATGATCTCCAGAGGTCCCTTCCAACCCTGACCATTCTGTGATTCTGTGAAGACTGGCATGGGATGATAAGAGATGTGGCATAGGTGTTGGAGACTCCATGGCTATAAACAACTCACCAGTGGTGACTTAAAGAATGCAGACCTGGAGCTGGACAAAAATGGTCTAGGATAACGAAAAGAACAAAGAAATAGTATTTAATATAAGTTAAAGCCACGATAAAAAAGTAAATTCAGATACAAAATAGAACTGCAGCCCAATGAAGAAAAAGTGTAAAAGCATTTTAGCAGACATATTGAAATGACCCCAAGTGGTCCTTAGAGAGACAAAGAAGAAATCAACAGAATGAACATCATATTCCTCCCAGTGAAGGGCTACAGGTTCTGTAACATTGCTCCCAATGCCACCAC